TGCTCTAACTAGGTCTAACCACTAGGTCCCCATGGCCTGCAGAGTATTCTTTGAGAGCAGAAATCCATAGAGCAAATTCATTTCTTGTGAGCTCATATAGATAACTTCATAAATATGTTATTTGGCCATTATTGCTGAATGTCAATTTATAATTGCTAACTGCAGTTTTGATCAAATGATGGAAAAATTGCAGAATAGCTGTCCAAATACCTGGGGTAATATCATTCCACCTCTAGGAATGTGGGCCAAAACATTCCCTGACCAGTTTCCTCACAAATAAATCCAAATAATTTGTCGCCAATACACATTATGAGTAAGATAACACGATAATCTAGTTAAAAACATATGGTAGGTCGTAAATACATTGAACTTATGGCCCTAATGCCTGTTTATGGAAACCATTCTGTGAGCCTCCCACAACTCTCCCAAAGGCCCCAACAGTTCCTGGAACCCCTGAAACCTTGCATGAATTAGGTAATTTGAGCTCCAAGAAACAGGAGTCTACACTCAAAGTGTCCTAAAGCATAAAGGTATTTTTGCAGATAACAGGGAGTCCAACCATGGCAACTCTAGCTGTATGAAAGAGAAGTATGCAGAGTGAGGACCAGGCAGACTCTGGAAATTGTTGGAAAATAAATACATAGCCGCGCATGCTCACTAGCTATCTCACTAGCGGCGCGCACACCAGATTCTTAGTCCGTCGGGACGCGATTCTGTCCCGTGCCCTTCTTCAGGCCAGCTCTTCTGCTGTGGCCAGGGAGTGCAGTGGAGGATGGCCCAGGTGCTTGGGCCCTGCACCCCATGGGAGACCAGGAGAAGCACCTGGCTCCTGACTCCTGCCTTCGGATCAGCGCAGTGCGCTGGCCGCGGCAGCCATTGGAGGGTGAACCAACGGCAAAGGAAGACCTTTCTCTCTGTCTCTCTCTGTCTCTCTCTCTCACTGTCCACTCTGCCTGTCAAAAAAAAAAAAAAAAAAAGAAATACATAATAAATATGAATGTTTACAAGGATTTGCAATGTCTTCTTTAAGATGTAAGATTGTGTATAAGTCACACCAAGAATGCAGAATACAAGCATCAGGATGATAAACTGGAAAACAAACCCTCCAAAGTAGTGGTTGTCAGTTCTGACTGCATATGAAAATTATACGGGAAGGTTTTATAGGACACTATTGTCTGGGTCCTTCTCGGAAATTTCTGATCTGATTGGTCTAGGGATTGCTCAATATTGGACATTTCCTAAACCTTCCCAGGTAATATTTAAGTGCTAACCAGACTGATAATGATTGCTCCAGCATATTCTAAATCACAGTGCTCACTAAATGAGGAGAACTCCAGCTGCCAGCACTGAGCAGTTACTTAGGGAAAGAAGTCGTGGGGAAAGAGAGTGCCAAATACAAGACACAAGCTTAATTAGCTCTTCAGATTTTCGCTTCTTCAACCTCACAAATGAATCCAAATAATTTGTCACCAATACACATTATGAGTAAGATAACACGATAATCTAGTTAAAAACCGGGGTCATCAGAGCAATTGCACACACACCCACAAATACACACAGTTGCTTTCTGCCCATGTGTGGCTTTCTTCAAGACTATCTTGATGTTTAATCTGTCCCGAGAGCCTGTCTGGTAATGTGCTGCAGGCTGGGCAGAGTCTGGATTCACAGTGTGATTTTCCCCTGGCTCCACATGCCTGTAGGCAGCTCCTTCCTAAACACTGGTATTAATGAGAGTCAGCTGGAAAGCATTTCTTTGTAATATAGATACCTGGACACCCCTGTGAAGTTATGACTTAGTAGATCTACTGTAGGGCTCAGGAGTCTGTATTTTATTTTATTATTTAATTTATTTAGTTATTTGAGAGGTAGAGTTACAGACAGTGAGAGGGAGAGACAGAGAGAAAAGTCTTCCATCCACTGGTTCACTCCCCCAAATGGATGCAATGGCCAGAGCTGTGCCTATCCAAAGCCACGAGCCAGGAGCTTCTTCCAGGTCTCCCACAAGGGTGCAGAGGCCCATGGACTTGGGCCATCCTCTACTGCTTCTCCAGACCATAGCAGACACCTGGATGGGAAGAGGAGCAGCTGGGACTCGAACTGGTGACCATATTGGATGCCGGCGCCACAGGCGGAGGATTAACCTATGTGCCACAGCGCCGGCCCCCAGGAGTCTGTATTTTAAAAAATTTCTTGGGGGGACTTCTAATCTAATTGGTCAACAATCACGATTTTAAGAGACTTTCTTCAGGTTGACCATGAGGACAAATGGGAAATATCATGCCTAAGACACACCCAAAGGATTCTTTTTTATTTTCTTTCCCTTTTTACTTTTAATTTTTTGTGATAACGTATTTTCAGTTTGCTTTATAAGCACATCAAAGGCTCCATGCTCCTCTAAACAAAGAAATCTACAATTAAAAAGTAGAGACACCAAAGGGATCACATAAACAAGAATAGTGTCTGCAAATACTAGCTGATAGAATAAAAAAGGGAGAGAATGATCCAACATGGGAAGTGAGATACAGACCCATAGAATGGCTAATGTCCTAACAGCACTCTGGCCTCATAATCAGCCCTTAAGGCATGCAGATCCGGCTGAAATGCCCATGAGAGTATTTCAGGCATGGAAAGCCAAGACACTCTGGGGGAAAAAAAAAAAAACAAACCTAAATGAAAGATCTCCACGAGTGAGATCCCAGTGGAAAGAACAGGTCATCAAACAAGTAGGTACCTTTCTCTGAAGGGAGGAGAGAACTTCCACTTTGACCATGGCCTTGTCTAAAAATGATCAGAGTCAGTGAACTCAGGGGGCTTCCATAGCCTTGGCAGCTCATGACAAGAGCCTAGGGTGATTACTGATGCCATAAACAAGGGTGTGAATTTGTTAAGTCAACAACAGGAGTCACTGTGCACTTACTTCTCATGTAGGATCTTTGTCCTTAGTGTGCTGTACATTGAGATTTAATGCTATAACTAGTACTCAAACAGTATTTTTCACTTTATGTTTCTGTGTGGGAGCAAACTGTTGAAATCTTTACTTAATGTATGCTAAACTGATCTTCTGTATATAAAGAGAATCGAAAATGAATCTTGATATGAATGGAAGGGGAGAGGGAGTGGGAAAGGGGAGGGTTGCGGGTTGGAGGGACGTTATGGGGGGAAGCCATTGTAATCAATATTCTGTACTTTGGAAATTTATATTCATTAAATAAAAGTTAAAAAAATAAAAAATAAAAAAAGTAGAGACACAACTGTTATCCAGGGGTATAGGCAAAGGTTATAGATAGCAATCAAATAATAAGATGTCAGTCTATCTGGACACATTGGTTTTTGTACTCTCTATATCAGTTGCAGTTAATCAGACAAAATATATAGTGTTTGTCTTTTTTGGATCTGGCTTATTTTACTAAGCATAATGGTCTCCAATTGCATTGATTTTGATGGCAAAGACGAAATTTCATTCTTTTATGGCCTAGTAGTATTCCATTATGGGGCTTCAAAAGTTCATAGAAAAATGCATGTTTTAAAAAACTATGACTGGATTTCCGAAAGCACTTGCACCAAAGTAGACTTATGATTTTTCCATGAACTTTATTCATAATTAGTTTTACATAATTACTTATACATGATTAATTTGCAAAAATTGAAAATCCCAAATGTTCTCCAACTGATAGATATTCCATATTATGGACTGCTTCTCAGCAGTGAAAGGGAACAAACTACTGACACACACAGCAACACAGATGAATCCCAGAAGCATTATGCTAAGTGAAAGACTCAACGGCTACATATGGAAGAATTCAATTCATTTAACAGGAAGGAGACCTGTGGTTACCAGTGGTAGTGAGGATTTGACTACAAGGGGGTATTAGGAGATATTTTTGGATTGATGCAATTGTTTTGACTTGATTATGATGCTGGTTACATGACTATACACTAGATGTCTTGAAACATCCATTTTGTTAATGTACTTTGTGCTTTAATGAAAAGAAAACTCGATATGAAAGGAAAAAAAAAAACAAGCATAAAATGTGGGTTATGCAGATTAACCTCTTTACATATTGAGAACAGAGCATGGTTTCTAGATGTGGCTGAGTCCAATATCCACATCTTGGGAAGAGGCTTACATTTAGATAATGCTTCACTAATCTGCCCGTACATACATATGCACCACAGGAATTCTCAAGAGTAGCTCATACTCAAGGATTCAAAGATGTTGGAAAAAGAAACCAGGCATTCAGCCATGTAGAAATCTAAATGACTCTCATCTCTCCATCTGATTATTTTGGTGTTTTGAGGTCACTGTCTGGGATTTACGAAATTCTGGAAGTGCAGGGCAGAGCGGTGTGAGGTGCTGAGAGACGAGTGACAAACGTGCTCCTCACCAGGCTTTTTCGGGTCAATGATTCTAGTGGGTGTGAAGCAGTTGGCTTTTATGAACTATCTGCAAAGTTGTTCTTTCTCCAGGGAGTTTCTCTAACGTACATGTTCCTTGCATAGTCCTAAAATTCCACCTTAAAACAAGTCGAATGTACTTATGGCCAATTTCTCAGCGTGGAAAACTTCTGCTTCAGCGATGACACACTGCAGTTGGATCCTTTCCCCCAACATCTGGAAGCCACATGTCAGTGGCAGCTGTATAAAAGTCAGCCCAGCAAACTTAGGGTGACATTTTTTTGCCAGGAGCCCAGGCAGCATGGACTTCTCTCTCCTGTGGGCACTTTTGCCATTGGTCACCATGGCCTGGGGCCAGTATGGTGACTACTATGGATACCCATACCAGCAGTACCATGACTACAGCGATGATGGGTGGGTGAATCTGAATCGGCAGGGCTTCAGCTACCAGTGTCCTCATGGCCAGGTGGTGGTGGCCGTCAGGAGCATCTTCAACAAGAAGGAAGGCTCTGACAGACAATGGAACTACGCCTGCATGCCCACACCCCAGAGCCTCGGGGAGCCCACCGAGTGCTGGTGGGAGGAGATCAACAGGGCTGGCATGGAATGGTAAGGGGCTGCTGCCACACTTGGGCTGGGGACATTGCTGCACTACCTTACCCTGAGGGCTGCTGGACTCTTGGGGATCAAAACGACCTAAAGCCTATGCAAACCACACCCCCAGCTTGCCATTGCATGCTCTGGGTGGGGCAGAGCTACTGCGGAGTGGACAAATATCACAGGACAAATGCCCAGGCAGGGAGGGCGTCTGAGGCAGATGGACCCTTTTGGGGTTCCGTTCCTTTCAGAAGCAGCAATACTCTCAGTGTGGCCCAGGGGATGGTGTGGGTCTGATTAAGTGTAGAAATGGAAAATATTGAAGAAATTACAGCAATTTCACATTGCTGTGACAATCGAATGACATTTTTATTCTGTAGCAATTTATTTCTGCTGTTTTACACAAGTATTGGTACACTATAGTGTGGGAAAAGCAAACAATTGGGCCCTCAGAATAGATAGTGTGAGAGATATTGATTTAGAGCCAGTGACTGGGGAAGAGAAGAAAAAGAAATTGAAGCAAAGGGAAGTGTAATTGAACAGTTCTCTGCTGGCTTGATGAAATGTGCCCTCTTGATTATGAGACCCGAGGTCCTTCTCTCTGCTGGAATTTAAAGTGGCCTGCGTTGCTGGAAACCAGTTTCCTAAAAGTGTTTAGAGAGAGGTGCTGCCTTTGCGTGACTGCACTCTGCCTGACTTGCGTGACTGCAAGTCAGTGGCATGGACTTGCGCTTCTTCCAGGAGGGCCCAGCCCCAGTCCTGGCTCAGGAGCCACTGACAGCTAGGCGGGTTGATTCACAGCAGCCTCAGTGGAGCTGGACTGCAGCGGCGCTGGGTGAGAGGGTAAAGGCTGACCCTGAGGGAGGGAAGCATGCGCAGTGAGGAGGAAGCCCAGCTGGTGGACTGTATATGCAGAAAACACCAGGGCCCTGAGAAGGGTTCCAGCAGGCCCTTGGTGGAGCAGCACTTGGTGGAGTGGGGCTCTGGAGTTGTCAGGCTTAAGCCTAGGGTCACACAGCCAGAAGACAAAACAATTGCAGGAAGTTCAAGGAGAAAAGATCCTGATAGGTGAAGGAGCCAGGCCAGAGAGGAGGTCTCTAAGCAATGATATAGCTGCCATTGATCAAGTGCTTACCCTGAGCAGCCACTAAGCTAAGTACTTTACCTGGATTATCTCATCTCATGCTCAAAACCTATCTATACGTTATTTTATAAAACCTATAAGCAGAGAGACTGTGGTAGAGATCAACATTTCCTCCACTGGAAAACAGGGATTTGGTTGCAGATCCAGTCTCTGCTCCTAAGACTGGGTGTTAAGCAACTGGGATGGGCTTATGAGAGCTGGCTGCCATAACCCAACCTGGGCCCCAGCGCAACAGCTGATTCTGTGATGGGAGAACCAGGCCACAGCCCCCATGTGTGCTAGAGCTCTTGGTCCTAAAGGGATGGAGACAAGCATGACTTCCTGACTGGGGAGGGACTCTACCAGTTTGTAGGTTGGGTAGGGAGAGGGGTCCCACAGGCAGCCGGGAGTGGGAGAACTGAGGCAGTAGGCTACTTGGACAGCTTTTGCTGGGCCATCTTCATCTACCCTTGCTGCCTGTGGCAAGCCAATTTAGTGATCTCAAACTCTGTCTGACAAATGGCTGGTGCACAGACCAGATTTCCTTGAGGAGAGTGTCCAGACTCCCCACAGCCAGCCCATTGTCTCGCATGCAGGATGGAAACAACCAAGTTACAACTCTCCCTCTGGTTCTCCTCTCTCAGAGGAACCTTCGTGTGGTCACAGGACCTTCTAACACCCCTCAGAAGAGCCACAGTGAAATACACTCTGCAGTGATTCCTCCAATCCCGGAGGAAGAGCTCTGGCCTCTGAGTCAGGAAGCCTGGGTTTGCTGCTGGTGCTAATGACATACGGGTGACCTTGCCCCAGACACTGAGCTCTCTAAGCTTCCACCTGAAGGGTCACACAGCGTGATCGCTGCAGGCTTCACAGAACTGCAGTTCACCCCTGAAATCGTGCTTGGCTTTCTCAAGCATGCTGGCGTCCCTTGTTCACATCAAATGATGTTTAGCTTTACACTGGACAACCCGTGGTTGAGTTATCATATATTCCCAAACTACTTGAAGAAAACGCAAAACAGGAAGGTGAAATTACATGATGTTTTTGGCCGATGGGGAGCCAAGTGAGAGGCTGACGGATGAGAGTCTGTTCCACCTCCCTGCCTCTGCATCTTTGGTGGACAGGGTTGAGGGACCTTTCTCTTCCTCCCTCCACTCTCTGTTTCTCCTTTTCTCTCACTGATCAGAGGGTTGGGCACTCACAAACAAGCTAAACAAGTTCTTTACGCTAGGACTCAGCTGCCTGGGGACTGATACCAATTACCAGGAACGTGTTTTTTAGATAATTATGACTTTGAGTTCAGACTCCCGTCTCGCAGAAAAATCTGGAAGGAAAGAAATTTCTCACAGGCTGGGGAGCAATTACATCTTCCTATTGGATTCAGGCTCTTAATCTGTTCAGGGGGAAGAGTTGGTCACACTGCTGTGCAATCTGGCTGCCTTGTGTAACAAAATTAGCTTCAAGTTTGTTTAAAGAGAGGGGAGGGACGCTGAACAGAGACTTGATCGCAGACATAGGATCAGCCAAAGAGGTCTGCTCGGGGGGCACTGTCTTTAGAAGGAGGTGCCATCCTGGCTGAGTGGCTTGTGATGCTGGGGTTTATCCTGGTTTCTCTGCTGAGAACCACACTTCAGGTCCCAGTCTGAAGTATGGATATGGCCTCTGTCACTAACTAGAGCCAGGAGATTTCACCTGGGTCCCCTAGTATCTTGCCATCTCAGAGTGTGCTCGGGGGTGTTCTCTAACTTGGGTTGGAAAAGGTGGCTGTGCACCAGGTCCTCTGTGGGACAAGAGAAAGCTGAGATGTTCTAGTGAGGCTAAGCTATGTGTCATGTGATGGAAGTTGCCCCAGGCTTGCAATCAGGAACCCTGGATTCACAGCTCCTGCTTGTGTTGTCTCTTAGCTCTGTGTCTGTGGCATTCAGTTCTTCATTCTGGAAGAAAAAGAAAGGAAAAAGAATGGGTGTTGCTCATCTTATCAACTGCTAAAGGGTAATTACTGTGACGCTTATAGGAGAAACTAGGAGAGATTTTTAAAGCAAATAGCAGTCTAGAACAGGAACATGGCACATCACACCCTATCAACAGGCAGGCAAGAAAGATTTACTGCATCTGGGACTTGGGCAACCAGTTTTACCTGCAGTCCACATTCAGAGAAAGAGTGTTCTCCATGTCATCACTTCTTTTTCCTCTGGTGTGTCAAAGAACACTTCCCCCCTGAAGTGACAGTTAATATCAGAGATGAATTCCTGAGCTCATGATGGAGGAGAGGAGAAAGGAGATATTTCCCACAGAGCCATGTCAGCATCAAGGTACATGTTGGGCAGGAGCTCAGTTTTCCTTAATCTGACCATAATTAGGTCCAACATTCTATCCAGCACTGAACAGTCATCCTGGTTCTGAGTGTTTAGTACTCATAGACCCCACCAACGCTTCTCACATTAATCCCTCAACCCACCTGTATCCTGTGATGCACTTGTCACCAATGATATGTGTTGTTCATTGCTTGTTTACCTGATGAAAACAGAAGCTTTTCGAACACAGAGACTTTGTCTCATGATCATAGTCTCTTCAGCGCCTACAATGGACCTGGAACAAAGTGAGCCCCTCAAATATATGTCGCAAGAGACTAACTCAGTCTAATTAGTTGCATGAGGCAGTCCATATCTCACCAGTGTCCCCATCATCATCAACAGGAAAGTCTGCAGAATTTCTTATGGGGAAAACATTTTTCTCATACCTTTGATGCTCAACATTCCTGAGATCCCTAAGTCGCAGAGGGTGGCTGATACACTTAATTACTGCAGGAAGAATTCTTTGTATTCAGTTTTCAATCTCCTAATAATCCTAATGTCTCCATAAACTGTTAAAAAATGGTGAACTCTTTATTTAAAAATTCATAAGAACTGAATGCTAAACAATATCTTGGTTTGGATCCTGGAACAGAAAAAGGACATTAGTGGAAAGCTGGTAAAATCCAAATAAAGTCTGAGTTTACCACTGTGCCAATATTAATTTCTTAGTGTTCATAAATACACCATAATTATTAAATATTACATCAGGGGACGCTGGATGAAGAGTACATGTGAATTTTGTGTATTATCTTTCTATAACTTTCTTCAAAATACAAGGGTTAAAAAACACACATAAGATTCCAAGCTGGCAGAGAATGCACTGGGAGTTCAAAAGTTAGGCAGAGCATAGCAGAAGGCAAACATCCCAGCATTGGGAGGGGACTCTGGTGTCATCTACAGCAACCTCCTTACATCATAGATTAGGAATTAAGGCAAAAAAAATGCAGCAACTTGATAAATAAATGAAGTCATTACCTAAATACAAATTCTATGACCTTATTCCTAATTTATAGTGTATAAAGAATTACACTCTCACAAATTCATTTGCTCATTTCTTCACTACTAAATGCTTAATATCACAAATTTTGCTAGATTCAAGGAGCATGAAGATGAACACATACCGTCTCTAGCATTGAGTGACTGATAGTCTAATCTTCTTTGGTCTTTACAACAGTGAAGGAGGCAGGTATTAACTATTGTCTCCATTGTATAGGTGAGATGTGGCTCCGAGACATTGGGAGGCCTCTTATTCATTATAGTGCATGTTAAAGGCAGAACCCAAGACAGTGAATCTAATGCCATAAGGCTACAGGTGGATATGAAATGTTATTTTTGTTCTTGGATAAAGCCATAGTGAGTGCTGAACTAAAGGAAGTCATCATATCCATGTAAGAATGACTTTGGAGGGCAAGAAGGCAGAGTGTGGGAGAACAAGGTACGGCAGGCAGATCTAGGATTCTTGCCAATTTTCCATCTAGGTCACTCTGCTAAGTACCAGGAATCAATTGTCTGGGGGAACTTGAGCTTTGCAAAAATGGTTGCTATCTGTTCTCGCAAGAATGGCAAAAGTTCACTCCTCCAAGTGGAAGAGTTGCTTCCATCTGGGTACCTGCCAGACATAATCTTCCCAATCGATAAGATATTTCCACAGTGTTGGAATACTTTCCTCTGCGTGTGTTGTGGGGATTGGGGGTAGGGGCAGTTATTTGAGGCATCTTGAAGTAATGGAAAGTTTATGAACTTTGGAGTCGAACAGAACAACCCTCACAATGCAGTTCCACTACAACCTTTCGGCAACTCCCGTCAACTCTTGAGTCTTCAGTTTTTTATCAACAAAGCAACTTCCTAGAATTGTGAGAATTAAGTGAGATAAGGTGGGTACTTCAAAAACTCTGTGGAAAGGGGGAATTAAAAGATAACTTTGTTCTGTTGCAAAGAATTTTCAAGTCCATGCATAGTTTTTTCATAGTACGTATTTTTTGTAACTGTTGCAGATCCCTCATGTATGTACATTACTGGCTGTGTGTCCTTAGGGAAAGCACTTAACATCTCTATACCTGGGTTTTCTTATACATAAAATGATGATGGTTATGGGAAACTGACTACATGAGCTATTTCATAGGATTGCATTGGTGATTAAATGGTTAATGTTTATTTGGTGCCTGGCACAGTGTCTGGCAAATGTTAAGTCCCTGATAAAGACCATTTTTCACTGCTACTATGACTGCTCTGTGCAAACTGATACTCGTGCATTTAAAACCACACCAGTGGCTGGCGCCGCGGCTGATTAGGCTAATCCTCCACCTTGCGGCGCCAGCACACGGGGTTCTAGTCCCCGTTGGGGTGCCGGATTCTGTCCCAGTTGCTCCTCTTCCAGGCCAGCTCTCTGCTGTGGACAGGGAGTGCAGTGGAGGATGGCCCAAGTGCTTGGGCCCTGCACCCCATGGGAGACCAGGATAAGTACCTGGCTCCTGCCTTCAGATCAGCGCGGTGTGCCGGCCGCATCGTGCCAGCCGCGGCGGCCATTGGAGGGTGAACCAACGGCAAAAGGAAGACCTTTCTCTCTGTCTCTCTCTCACTGTCCACTCTGCCTGTCAAAAAAATAAATAAAAATAAACCACACCAGTGATCAAAAACAAGAGAGACATAATTTCATCACAACCTCTAGATATCAAGTGTACATTATATACATCTCACAAGATCATCGGTATCTACTCAGAGGCCTTTAGGGTAGCTTCTACCATCTGCATTTTTCCAAAATGGGTCAGGAATATGTATATATATTTGGGAGAGGTGTTCTCCCTTTGTTCTTTACTTAGGCTTTCTATCCAGGTCAGTTGTTCAACAGCTCATTTGTGGTTTACCATCTTAAAACCTGGAAGACAGACTAGCAGACTTAAAACATGCATGTGGTTGGGGGCAGGTGTTGTGGTACAGCATGCAACACCAGCATCCTATGTCAGAGTACCAGTTCAGGTCCTGGCTGTTCCACTTCTGATCCAGCTCCCTACTAATGCACCTGGGTACTTGGGCCCTGCCACCACATGAGAGACCTGGATGGAGTTCCTAGCTCCTGGCTTTGGCCTGGCCCAGCTTTAGCCATGTGGTGAATTGGGGAGTGAACAGGAGCCTGGAAGATATCTCTCTCTCTCTCTCTCTCTCTTTCACTCTGCCTGTCTAATAAATAATTCTTAAAAGAAAATCCTGGATGTACAGAAGACAGCAGACTCTTACCTAGCTGCAGTGTGCACCCACCCCATTCTGTTTAAAGAGGCTGTTCATGTGCGCACCATTGTGGCAGGAGACCGAGTAGTACATGGTGCAGTGTCTGCCTTCCAAAAGGTCACACCATGGTACCATGAGATTACTCAGGGACAACACACATTAGTTGAAATGTGTGATGGTGACATCAACATGCCACAGGAAGGAAATTCTGTATGGGTCATAACTGTCAAAGAAGGAAGGCTTCTTCAGGGAAAAAGAGCCTTTAATATTTTTTTTTAATTTTCTGACATCTACTTTCTGAGAGAACCCAGTGATTATAGAAAGTGATTTTTGGAGACTAGAATGTAGCTTCCCTTTCTATTAAATTATAGCTATTTATGGTCACTCTAAAATAACAACTATGCCTTCTCTTGCCTTTTAATATCATACTTTGTGCCAGGCTCTATGCCAGGCATGTGACATGTACCGTCTCTTCATTCTTCACATAATACTGTCATGATAGGGATTATTATCCCCATTTTCATAAAAGTGGGTATGTGTATTAGCAGAAAGAGTGGGACTGGGAAGGAATTATTCTGTTCAGGCTCAAGAGGAAAATCCAGAACTTTAAAAGCCCCTTGGTTGGGGCAAACTTGCCCCCTATGCGGGTGTGTCTCTGCTTCTTGCCACTTCCCTGCCCCATGCTCCCCATCCAATCCCCTATTTCTCTTCTGCTCTGTCTTTGGTACAAGTCCACTGCATCTCCAGAATCTGTCTTATCACATCTGCTTATCAGTAGTAGTCCTCTGGAAAAAGATTCTAGACCACATAGAGCACCAGGCATAGAGTGAATTCTGGTGAATAATTATAGAAAGATAATGAACACTGTAAACTCTGTAGACTATATTACAAATGCCCAATAGCACCTCAGATAATTATTATGGGGAAAATAGTATTAACGAAAGTCAAAACCTTGTTCTGCAAAACTGAAATACAGTGGGTATAACTTAAAACCTTGTCCAGCTTAAGACAGAGGAGAAGAAATTTGGAGGAATTAAAGAGACTATGTCACATAGTCTTCCCAACACAGGAGATTAGCCACTGGTCAGGATGAGGAACTCATCTTGTCTTGGTCCACCTCTACTTTAGGGTTGTAGACCAGCTAGTGGCCTTTGAAATACATCTGTTTGTGGGACTTGGAAGAAAAAGGCCATCATAATTGGCTCTCTCATCTATTTTATTATTTTGAGAGTTTCTTTTTTTACCAAGATGGTGCTCTCCCTTCTACCCTGTCCCACAACTGACTCATCTTCACCCCCTATTTTTTTTCTGTTTGACACACTAATTTCATTTCCTTTCTTTTTTTTAATTTGTTATTTTTTTAACTTTTATTTAATGAATATAAATTTCCAAAGTACGACTTATGGATTACGATGGCTTCCTCCCCATACCGTCCCTCCCACCCACAACCCTCCCCTTTCCCACTCCCTCTCCCCTTCCATTCGCATCAAGATTCATTTTCAATTATCTTAATATACAGAAGATCAGCTTAGTATACATTAAGTAAGTATTTCAACAGTTTGCTCCCACACAGAAACATAAAGTGAAAAATAATAGATGATTTTTTTTAAATGATGATGAAATCAGATCAGACCTATTGTCATGTTTAATCCCAGTGAGAGTCAAATTGGGAATTGATAATTTCTTTTTTTTTTTTTTTACAGAAGATCAGTTTAGTATGCATTAAGTAAAGATTTCAACAGTTTGCACCCCCATAGAAACACAAAGTGAAATATACTGTTTGAGTACTTGTTATAGCATTAAATCTCAATGTACAGCACATTAAGGACAGAGATCCTACATGAGGAGTAAGTGCACAGTGACTCCTGTTGTTGACTTTACCAATTGACACTCCTGTCTATGGCATCAGTAATCTCCCTATGCTCCAGTCATGAGTTTCCAAGGCTATGGAAGCCCTCTGAGTTCTCCGACTCTTATCTTGTTTAGACAAGGTCATAGTCAAAGTGGAGGTTCTCTCCTCCCTTCAGAGAAAGGTACCTCTTTCTTTGAAGACCTGTTCTTTCCACTGGGATCTCACTCACAGAGATCTTTTTGCCAGAGTGTCTTGGCTTTCCATGCCTGAAATACTCTCATGGGCTTTTCAGCCAGATCCGAATGCCTTTAGGGCTGATTCTGAGGCCAGAGTGCTATTTAGGACATCTGCCATTCTATGAGTCTGCTGAGTATCTCACTTCCCATGTTGGATCACTCTCCCCTTTATTTATTCTATCGGTTAGTGTTAGCAGGTACTAGACTTGTTTATGTGCTCCCTTTGACTCTTAGTCCTTTCATTATGATCAATTGTGAACTGAAATTGATCACTTGAAATAGTGAGATGGCATTGGTACATGCCACCTTGATGTTCACCCCCTATATTGCTAGCAGTTTGGATCAAGACCAACAGGGACCAGAAGGAGAGATTAGAACTCCACAGAGGAGTTCACAAGCAAAAGCAGTTCCAACCCCAGCCATTCTGCCTGTCCAACGGCCCTGGACTTGATGGAGAATACAGACAACAGAGGGAAAGCCTGGCCAGAGAATTGAGCAGAGTTGACAGACAATTCCAAAGCCATTTTTCTGCTTCCTGTGAGCTCATGAACATGAACTTTGGCCTCAAACACATTGGAGTTTGGATCCTGGCCCTTTCGGTTGCCATCTTGACCAAGAGTTTTGCAGGCATTATTTCACTGAATCCTCACGGTGACTTAAGTGAGGCT